CTTATATATTATAATTATACTTATAATAATAATATAAACTAAAATACTTTGAGCTGTCTTTTTTTTTTATTATTATTTTTATGTCTTTATTGGTGTTTTTTTTTTGCTTTTTTTTCTGTGTTTTTTTCTTTTAATAATTTTTTTAATTTAGTTTGTTAATATTAAATTGTTTTTGTTTAGTTATCAAATTTTCATGACACGAATCCTGAGTTTGATAGGTTAACTTGGTATGATGGATTAACTCGAAATTTTTTTTGTTGTTTTTCTTTTTAATTAATTATTTTCATTTAGTTTGGTTTGTTAATGTGTGTTTTCCCATGCCTATGCTTATATATTATAATTATACTTATAATAATATAATAATAATAACATATACTAAAATATTTTGAGTTGTCTTTTTTTTTTCATTTTTTTTGTTTTCATTTTTTTTGTTTTTTATGCTTTTATAGGTTTTTTTTTCTTTTTTATTTGTGTTGTTTTCTTTTAATAAAATTTAGTTTGTTAATATTAATTTTTTTTTAAGTTATCAAACTTTCATGATAAAGATCCTGAATTTGACGGGTTAACCTAGAATTTTTCTTTTTTGCTTTTTTTTTTTATTTTTAATTAATTTTTTTCGTTTAGTTTGGTTGGTTAATGTTAAATTCTTTTTATTTAATTATCAAATTTTCATGATATGTATCTCGGGCTTGATGGATTAACCTGGTTCAACAGTTTAACCTAGTTAACCCATCAATTTTTTTTCTATTTAGTTATCAAACTTTCATGACATGAATTTCAGGTTTGACGGGTTAACCTGGTTTGAAGGGTTAACCCAATTAATTCAAATTTTTTAGCCAGACCCATATCCAAGACTATTAGGTCTGGTGTTGCAGCCAAACTCACTTAAATTTAGATCATACAAGTTTAATGTTATTATTAATATTATAAATATTATTTTTGGATTGAGTATAAGGTGCATCATTTTTATGAATAATACTTCTGAGAGAATTGAAAAAGGACTTATAAGGTGCATCATTTTTATGAATAATTGTGGATGGACTGCGTACTGTATAAATAAATAAATAAAAGATATAATTTATGTCACACCCACACATCAAGATGATTTTAAAAAATAGTTTGAAAAATAATAGTTTTCTAGCATTTTATTTTTTTGATGGAAAATAGTATTATTTAAGGAGTTGCTACCTAGTATTATGGTTATTAGAAACCCTAACTGGTCAATAAATATTTTATGATGTGAGATTGGTTACACAAAAAAAAAAAAGATATTATCATCCCTTGAGCGTCTTGCTTAAGACAGGCTGCATTGCTGATTTTTTCATAAATTGCTAATGTTTTGTTGGTTTATGTTATAGTGATTTTTGCGTGTAATATTCCTAATTCTGGAGCTAATGAATCTTTTAACTATGAATATTTCCAACTCTATTGTTGGTAAATAATACATAGCTATAAAAGAAAGAAAGATTTAAATTAGTTTTTTTTTTAATTCCTGACTTTAGTGTCAGTGAATAAACAAATCAAATAAATATATTTATATGCATCACATAAAAAAAAATTTAATCATTATTTTTATTCCCGATTCTGGCGTCAGTGAATAAAAAAATCAAATAAATTTATTTTTTACGCATGCATATTTTTTATGTAACTAAATAAAAATAAAATATGATAAAATGAAATAAATTTACATTAGTATCTTTATTCCTGGATTTGACATTAGTGAATAAATCAATAAATTTACTTTATTTTATTTTATTTTTACATGCATATTTTTTATTTTTATATAATTAAATGAAATATAATTAAATAAATTTGAATTAGTATTTTTATTCTGACTCTAGTGTCAATGAATAAAAATAATAAATTTATATTTATATTTTTTATTTTTTATTTTTTTATATTTTTATTTACATTTTTGGGCTGGGTCTATATTTTTATTTTTGGGCTGGCTGGGTCGAGCTCAGCCCCTATGGTTTGTTAATGTTAAATTTCTTTCTATTTAATTATCAAAATTTCATAATACGTATCCTGAGCTTTACGGATTAACCTGGTTCGATAGTTTAACCCAGTTAACCCATAGGGGCTGAGCTCGACCCAGCCAGCCCCGCCCGGTCACTGGCCCAAGCCAGTGACCCGGCTGGATAAAGCACGCGTGAACTTGTTCACGCGTGCATGGGCACAGTGCGAAGGTAATTAATTGCCTTCGCACAGTGCTAAATACCCTCAAGATTCAAAAAGAATGAAAAGCAAGAGAAAGCTTACCGTGCCGAAGATTGCTCTGCTGGAGTGTTAGAGTTTTGGGAGAAGATCAGTGAAGACCCTTGTTGCTAGAAAATGGAATTCCTCCTTCTACCTTTGCTTTCCTGCCCTCTGTTTCTTCTTCTCTCGTCTTTTCTGTTTTATCGTCCCTGTGTCAGTCTCCTGCGTCTTGTGTTCTCGGTTTAGTTTCGGTTCATGATCTCCTCCTGTGTTTGCTGAATTGTTCTGGTTTTTTTTTTCTGGTTCTTGGCTCCCCTGTACGTGCTTCCAGTGTCTTCGTTCTCCTGTTTCTGGGTTTCTCCCCTTTTGCTGGTTCTGCCTTCCTTTTTTTCAGTCTTTCTCTGTGTTTTTTTTTTCGGTTCTGCCCCCTGTTTTTGCTCTTTTTTTTGTATGTTTTCTGGGTTTTTTCTCTGGTTCCTTTGGTTGCGATTTCTCTGGTTTTTGTTTTTCACGTTTTCTCTGGTTTTCTTCTCCCTTCATTGTTGTGTTCTTCTCTGCCTTTATAGGGCCAGAGAGCTCGCCCAAAACCAGTCCTGCCTTTGCAGGATTGTTATCCCTCCACAAACGGGACTGTGGGCAGAGGACGTGGTGACGATTGGATCGGCTTTGCTGCTGATTTTCCAGCTTCCCTGTTGAATCGAAATGTTCCCCAGCAATGGTGCCGTTTCGGCAGAAATGGAATTTTCACTTTGACCCCTGCTTCTGGAAATCTAACAATTGGATCCCTAATAATTAAAATTTTCTTTTAATTGTGCCCTTGGATAAATTTCAATTGAATCCTCAGTTAAATGCCATTTACACAACAGTCCTTGATTATAATTTTCTATAATTTTTCCTTTAATCAGCTTCAAATTGTTTTCAATTAAATCCCTGATTTCTTTAATTAATTAAATCAAAGTTTAATTAAGTCATAAACATATTAATTATTCAATTAAGCCCCTAATTTTATTAATTAAACTAATCCAAAATTTAATTAAATTTTTAAACTTATCAATTCTTCAATTATTGACCAATTAGCTCTTAAATTTAATAATTTCATTCTTAAACTTCAAATTTTATGTTATTAACCCCATTTATTATTTGTTCAAAAATTGGGTTATGACTGTTGTTCCCTCTTTATAATGTTTATGAAACCAAGTCATTGAAAAATTTATTTTCTTTTGACTTTACATAATAAATTTATAAAGAAAAAATAGACACAAAAGAACAATTGCTTTTTTAAGAGTCCTGAAAACTTTGAAAATAGTAGATTAATAGACATTCTTCACAGATAGATGTTGAATTAATAAATTAGTCATCGTGGAAAACTATACAAATGTTGTTTTTTTGTTTGAAATGGTCTAATTATTCTAGGTAACCTGCCCAAGGATATGAAAAATACAAATATTTTTTAAAAGTGGTATCATTGTAATGGATGACCTGTCCAATGTTGAAAAATACAAGAATTTTTCAAAAGTGGTTTCATTGTAATGGGTGATCTTCCCAAAATGTGAAAAATACGAGGATTTTTCAAAAATAGCCTAATTGTTCCAGGCGCCTACCCAATGTTGAAAAATACTAGGATTTTTCAAAAGTGGTCTCATTGTAATGGGTGATCTTCCCAAGATATGAAAAATACGAGGCTTTTTCAAAAGTGGCCTAATTGTTCTAAATGGCCTACCCAATATTAAAAAATATAAGGATTTTTTTCAAAAGTGATCTTATTGTAATGGGTGACCTTCCCAAGATGTAAAAAATACGAGGATTTTTCAAAAGTGACCTAATTGTTCCTGGCGGCCTACTCGATGTTAAAAAATATAAGGATTTTTCAAAAGTGGTCTCATTGTAATGGGTAATCTTCCTAAGACGTGAAAAATATGAGGATTTTTTAAAAGCAGCTTAATTATTCCAAGCGGCGTGCCCGATGTTGAAAAATACAAGAATTTTTCAAAAATGATCTTATTGTAATAGGTGACCTTCCCAAGACGTGAAAAATACGATGATTTTTTTTTAAATGGTCTCATTGTAATGAGTGACCTTCCCGATGTTGAAAAATACAAGGATTTTTTAAAAGTAATCTCATTATAATGGGTGACGTTCCCAAGACATAAAAGATACAAAAAGTCTAAAAGGGATGACATGATAAGGCTTGAAGGTGCACTCTTTAGGAGATGTGAGCTCAAAGAAAATAAAGGCTCGAAGGCCCACTCAAAAAGAAATGAGGGCTCAAAGGAGCACTTGAAAGGAGGTTGGGTTAGGAAACACACTACCTTGGGTGATCAAGGGCTTGAAGATGCACTCGACAAACATTTTTTTCTTCTTGGTCATTTTAAGGCAACCTTGATTGAACAAATTAAAAATTAAGGATCAAAATGAA